GCATCAGAAGCGTAGGCCACATATGGCCCCTAATGCAGAGCTTGTACAACATACAAAAACCTACGGAATACAGAATGCTTCATGATTTTTCCAGAAATTCCTGGTAACTGCTGAAGGTCCAGATCAAATAAAATCTGAGCTTGCTGCTCCCATAAAGAGAACTTTAAAACTCAAGCCATGCTTTTAACACTCCTACATAATGTTTGAAATAAACTGACCTCTTGATGATGACCTACTGTTCTTATAAAAATTTGCATATGGTGCTACTTTGCAGTGCTCATTTTAACTCTTAATCATTACAATACATAGGACTGCAAATGAAGATATTGAAAAAGTTTAAATATAACCTCCTCATTAATCAGCCTTTTGATGAAAAAATTATATATCAGATCTTAAGTATATTTTTGCATTTTTAAACTAAAATAGTTATTAAGAGCCTGTATAAATTATTTTCAATGGAAAATGGGATCAGCTATTTCCAGCAAGATATATTTGTTAGTTATAAATGCATAAACTGTATGAAGAATTTTTTAAATTAAAAATATATGAACACTCTAAGTTTCACTCCATGTTCTACTGCAGGAACAATTAATCATGCACCAAAGCTATGGCAATGCCCTTGACAGCATGGTATATAATAAGAAAAATAAATTACTTACATTGATAAATCTAGTCTGTTCAGTGAAATACTTGTCCAAGATACTGAAATGAGTCATCAATCACTACTACTCAGTCATCTATTCTCACTTGCTATCACAACCAACTGAAGAGTCAGAGATAATCTCAGAGATAATGATTTATGCTGGATGTTCCTCTAATGACAAGCTTGGTGTAGTTGTATTTTATCACTGCCATCACTTCAGGGCAATCTTGTAAAAACCCACCACTTAGAGATTGTCATTAAATACAGAATCATTTTTACAATCAAATAAGCCCATCAAACTATGTTGTTGAAGGTGTGACCTGACTTTCAGGATGATAGTTTTTTCCCCACTTGAAAATAAAACTTATTTTTTGATAAAGAACTGATGAAGTTCTTTTTTGATAACTTTTTTTGATAAAAAAGTATTTTTTTGATAAAAATTAAACAGTGTACCTTGTCTCAAGTTCCATGCTTTCAGGAAATTAACTACTTTAATTTTGAATTCTCCCATATTCCTGTTGACAGTGCAGTTACTTTTATAGGGTCTTTTCCCTCTGTATTGGCACTCAGATTTTTCTTAGCTCTTTTTCTATTTCTAGCCATTGCTTTCTTTACTGAATCTAATGGCTTCTCATTCTTACAATCTTTTAACATTCTCTCTTTCAAGAGAAATAAGACAACCAGGCTGAAACAGCATTATTTTACATCTGTCTTCCCCTGCACTTTAAAAGGCCAATCCTTTATATATTCACCCCACAGAGTTACAGTACTCTTGCAAACTTGTATCTTTTTGCTATTACTCATTAGAACATTTTGAATGAAGGCTACACACATGTTAAAATCATCACTGACACTTCTTTAATGTCCACAATTATTCCCTTCATCCCAACAAAACCTCTTCAAGTTGCTGGCTCTTCTCCTAAGAACCTAATTACTCAGAGACAGGCAAAATCAGAAACACAAGGTAACTTTCCTATGATGACAGAGGTAAAGGTGGTCTCAGGGTAAAGTTGCTACACCTTGAGTTAGACCTGGACATCCAAGACCTTAGGATGTTAGTGAGACTACACCTGATGTAGTGACTTAAATCAAAACAAGTGTGGTTTTGTAGTTAATCATGTGTTGCCTTTATTTAGCACATGCTCATTTGGATCTCAAAGTAGTTTTTGAGTGCACAACTTGCTTTTTTAAAGAAGAAATCCTCATTTATAAAACATTTCAAAAAATAACAGCATGTGAATGTGAAATGTGAAAGCTATACCTGCAGCATATACCTAAACATTTTGTACCCCTTTGAGATCTTCAAAGTCTATATTGCAGATACTCAGTCCTGGAAAACAGACTTAATTTAAGAAGCAGACTCTCTGAATCACAGATGATGGAGGTATAAGGAAACTTAGCATTAACCATTTAGGAAACTCAGCATCAACCACTTGTATACATCGACCTGCTCCTACTACTCCCTACAACAGACAAGGCCTCAGGCTCCAAAAGTGTTTTGGACCCTGAACTCAGTGTAGAAGAATAAAATTCACCTGACAGAAAGAAAATATTAATTATTTGCACCACACACTCCACTGTTTCTGTTCCAAACCCCTGCCAAAGACCAGTGCAGGCCAAAAGAAAGGCTTCAGACAGCTTTTGATCAAAGCAGAAGGTGGTATAGACACTTCCTACACTATTTACTCTCACCTCCAGCTCAAGGTGGGATGTTGGCCTGAAACAAAGCTCAGCCTTTCCTGATATACATACCCTAAGTGGAGAGAGAAAGCAACATCTGTGTGTTTTGCACTCTTCTGCAATATTTAATCCATTACAGTACAGAGACTAAGCACATCAGGCCTGGCACTGTGGTAGAGCTACTCAGTGCTCCCTAAACCCATAGGGCTGACAACAAAGCATAGTGCAGACACACTGCAGTAACCTTGCAGTGAAAACTGCACACAACATTTCACTGGTTTTCTCTACAACTCTTTTTCTTTCTAGTGTTGTTTCAATCCTGCACTGGTCTCTATATACCTAACCTAACATTAAGTTAGGACACTGGGTGGTTTACGAATTATATATGCAGCAGATCTTCCTAATGTAACAAATAATGGTCTCCAACGCTTGAAAAGAGAGCATTGCTTTCCCAGCACTTTTAAATTCCTAGTTTCTTTTAAAAACTAACTGTAAGAAATTTTCTGTGTACATTTTAACTTCTATAGACCTTCCTCAATTTCTATTACCTTCACCATCCATATCCTTAAACTTCTTCATAAAGTTATTAAAGCCCACAAATGCCAAGTGTGACCAGTTTGTACAGCACAGGATGTTGTCCAAAAATGTTGAGAGCAACAGCAGCGGCTGTTGGTAACAGTAGTTACCACCGTCCACAACAGTGGGTGCAACCACCTGTAATCACTAGGGTCAGAATGATTTTTCCTCTCAGCCATAAAGCTGAGGGAGAAGTGGCATAATTTCCTGCTCTGGAATAGATGAAACCTCGTATCTTTTCTATACTGACACCGCAAGGATGGCCATTCACAGAAGTAAAGGCATGAGTTACAGTGGAAATGAGTCACCAGTGAGTGGGGAAATAGAATCTCCTACGTCCAAGTAACCCAGGAACCCAGAACCTACTGAAAATTTGTCAGCTGTGTAGATCCATGTACTCAGAACCCTTTAACCAGTAAATTGTATGTTTTCTTTATAAACAGTTATGTCTTGATCTCAACCTAGCTGAATTGTATGACACTTTGACAGTGAGTAGCCCTGAGATGCTCACAGCTACTTCCCATTTTGTCCTGCACAGTTTCACCTCAAAATGTAATAAAAATACTTTATTGTTCTTCATTCAAATGCGTCATAACGAAACTTTTGACAGGCAGCTGGTAGATTCCCTGCATCTGACAGGGTAGCATTTCAGACTATTCCAAGAACAGCTGCTAGCCTGCTATGCACCTGCATAGCAAATTCATAACCCATATTCTTAAATTCAGCACACATAAAGGTCTAAAAAACACTGACATATTGTGTAAGCAGAAAAAAAAAAAATTGATACAAACCTATCTTTTCAAACTAACAATCTCACATCAGTCTTCACTCATTACCTTGTGAATATACTTAGGAGGTATTACTTGTTCCTCTATTTTTCCAGCACTCATACCAGTTAACATGACTCATGGAGGGTCTGTTTTTCCTTTTATTGTCACTAAAAACTTAATATTTAGCCCAGTTAGTTTATTGCTATACTTCCTGGTCTTCATCCACACAATTTGTACTTCTTCTTTTAAACACTGGAAGAGGTACAGCTATGATGTGTCCTATGTGAGTTTTCACTGATTCTTCATAAGACATTCACAGGGTATTTCCTATCTATCTTCAGAGTTTTTGAAGCCTGATGCTGCTTTCATTCTACTTATTTCCCTCTCCCTAAAGACTAATGTTAACGCCCACACCTCATGGTCAAGTATGTTTAACGGTGAGTACCATCAACTACTGCAACATAGGATAAATCAAAAGAATAAAAAACACTTCCATGACAAAAGCACTTGATACACGTTCATAAAAACACTTCCATAAAAAAAAATCACATCAATTTCTTCTTTGTTAGAATTACTTTCACAGAATAACCAGTTAGGTTGGAGAAAACCTCTGAGATCATCAAGAGCAACCAACCTGTGCCCAAATACCACCAGGTCAACTAAACCATGGCACTGACATGTCCAATTGTTTTGTGAAGAATTTTAGATATGGTGATACCACCACCTCCCTGGGCAGTCTGTTCCAATATTTAACAACCAGGAAAAAATTATTCCTGATGTCCAACCTGAACCTCCCCTGGAGCAGCTTGAGGCCATTTCCTCCAGCTGTATCACTGGTTGCCTGAGACAGGAGGGCGACCCCTGGCTACACCCTTCTGTCAGGCAGTGGTGGAGAGTGATAAAGTGATCCCTGAGCCTCCTTTTCTCCAGGATACACATTCTCAGCTGCTCCTCACAGGACTTGTGCTCCAGACCCTTCCCAGCTCCACTGCCCTTCTCTGGACTCTACCTTTTAAAAGCTTATGCAGAAGACATCCGAATCACCAAGAAGACTAAATAATTGCTGCCTACCTACATAGTAAATGCTGCACTCTGAAACCCTCCAGTGAGCGGCTTTACGGTTTTCCTGGCATTAGGGCACCAGAAAGGCGCATGTTTCCCGATGCGCGGCACTTTCCTTCCCGTTACTGTTCAGACACTATTTTTTTAATCAGCCGCCGTCCAGCCGCCCCGCTGGCTGCGGACAGCGGCGGGTGGGTGACGGGCCACGCAGGGCCGCAAGGCACGGCTCCCCCCGCGCCCGCAGCCGCCGGCAGGGCCCCGGTGCGTACCTGCGCGGCTCTCGTGCTTGGGCACCCGGTAGTACTTGTTGCCAAACTGGTCGGTGCCCACCAGCTCCTTGGCAGGCCCCACGAGCCGCAGCCGCAGAGCGCGGAGAGCCTGCCAGGCGCGGCTCATGCCGGGATCCCGATGGCAAGGCCGCGGCACCTCCGCCGCTGGGCACCGGGACACAGACACGGCGACACGGTCCTCGCGCCTGCCGGTGCGCAGCGCCGCGCTGCCCGGCCCCGTCCCGCCTATGGGCGCCGGGCGCGCCAGCAACGCCGCTGGCCATTGGCGCGGGCCGGCCCGCCCCGAGCCAATCCCGGCCGCGGCCGCCACAAGATGGCGGCGCGGAGCAGAGCGGGCCGGGCTCTCCCGCCATGTTGGGGCTCATGGCTGCTCGCCAGGCCGGGCTGGACGACCCCGCGCGGCTGCGCCGGGCTGAGCGCACCCGGAGGTACCGGTGCCGGGGCGGGTGTCCCTGCGCGGGGAGGCCCCGGAGCGGCAGCCCCTGGCTCCGCCCGGCCCGCACTGGGGCGGCCGGGGGTAGGGTGAGGGGCTACACAGCCTCAGGCCCTCTGTGCGCGGGGCCGGGCCGGGCCGGGGGAGCTGCTCGCCCACCCGCCTCGTCTTGGAGTGCCCCGCGGGGCTGGGGTGGCGTGGGTGGGTCAGCAGCCCTGTACTGGCTGGAGTGTGCACAGCGCAAGAATCTGCCTCACTCCCTGCGCCTCGGAGTTACTGCCCTTGCTGTCGGCGCGGTTCCTCCAGGGGGTTCAGTCTGCGTGCGGCTGCGCTCCGCTTGTGAGGAAACAGGTGTTTGCAATGCTCGTGTGCCCGCAGCTGCTCGTCCTTTTTCCCAAACCCGGCCTTTTGGCAGTTTGAAAAAGAGTCAGATGCAGGGGTTTCTTAGCAGTTTTTGTGGGAAGTGCTGGCAGTATAGAGGGATTTGTTAGTATTCCTGCTAAAGGTTATATAATGTGGTATTTGTTCAGTATCAGAGAGTCTACTTTGCAGATGTAGGTCTTCAAGATAAGTCAAATAAAGCCTACCTTAGCTCAGTTACTCACACAGCTTCTGGATCTGTGTTGGTGACTTATGGCTTTATGACTCTGTACCATTCTAAAACAAATATTTAAGATTGAAATTAATTTTAGTAGTTCAGGAAGGTTCTTTCTGGGTGCATCTAGACAACACAGTTTTGTCCCTCTGTGCCCTCAGCACTCATGTAGCATTCACTGTTAAGAACGGTAATATACTGGGTGGACTTAACCTTACTTGGACAATTGTCTGCTTAGTATTTCCCTTCCACAACTTTTCACTTTTGACTGAAAAAACCCGCAAATCTGAAGTCTTAAGTATATTTTATTTATAGCTGCATTTTGAAGTCACGTGTTTTAATACATTTCCACAGGGAGATTTCTTGCTTCCTAAAATTCCATCTGGAGCTCAAATGTTTTAAATTTGGTATCTTGTGTATGTCAGAATTCTTACTCTAGGTGAATTCTTGCATAATTATATTTCACATTGTTTAAGAGAGCTTAAATTATTTGCTACTTTTATAGCATGTCTATGAGACATAATGTTGGGGACCTGCCTGTAGAAGCCTAAGGTTGTCACATCAGGATTTTTAGCCACTTGAGCTGAAGCTGAGTAGGGGCAATCTGCATCACAGCTTTTCAGTTACCTACTTAGTTACAATTTTGTTGTGGTAGTGTCGTGGTTTGTACAAAATGGTGCCATAGGAAGCTCTGATTATATTGCAAGGCTAAATTTTATATCGGGTAGTGTGATTTAATGAAGCAGAGTATCTCTTTTTGGTCTATGCAATGGTAACATATTTTAAAATACAAGCTAAGAATTGCAGGTCAGGAAAAGTTGTCTCGGGAGCTTCATTATTTCGGGTAGCCTAGTTTTTATTTAGTATTGCAGAAAATGTAGCATAGATACTTCGTTTCATTAAAGGAAATACTGTAAACTTGATAAACTAAATTACTTTGTCCACTAGGTGTCCGTAGTTCCAAGCAGGATGAAGCCTGAAAGGCTACTACATGGTGAAGCTTCAAAGTAGTCAATATTTGTAGCAATTACAAGCTTCTTAATGTTTCTTTTCCTTAATGTTTTCAAGTTACATTCCAGGTTTTGTTTAATGCTTACCCCAAATGAGGTTTTGCTTTTTCTTTGATCCCATTTTACATATGTATTTCTCTCTTACCTTCCAAACAACAAAGTATTTTTTTCTGCCGACTTCACAAGACTTATTTCTATCTCTGTATTTTGTAGTTTTGCAAAAAAATCACAAAGATGGCTTAAATGCATTGAAGAAGCATGAAGCTAGGTTTCAGGTCTTCAGAGCTACATAGTAACGTATAATTCTGTTCTTGTTGTTCCTCTCTCTTTCTTCCTTTTTTTGCGAGTAGGGTTCTAAGTTTGGAGTTAAATAAAGATAGAGATGTGGAAAGAGTACATGGAAGTGGTATCAACACCCTTGATATTGAGCCTGTTGAGGGAAGATAGTAAGTATATACTTTGGTTGCTAAAAGCATACATAACGAATTCTTAAAATACGTAAAAACATAAGTTTTGGTACTATGGATTTTCTGTCTTGTTGAACTCTCTATTATATTGAGCATATTGAGATTATGAGTGTTTTAACTTCTGTGCTTTATTGACACTTTCAGCATGTTATCTGGTGGATCGGATGGTGTTATTGTACTTTATGACCTTGAAAACTTGAGCAGGAAACCAAGTTACACATGTAAAGCACTTTTTTCTGTTGGAAGGTAAGTACTGCAAAAGTCTTTTAAAAGTACATGGTATAGCTCTTGTGTGGGTAGAATGAAAAGGATAAAAAGACTGTAGAAAATACTGCCAGAGATCTTTGAAGGCTAGTGGCAGAAACTGTTTCTTCCTAATTTGTCTGCTCAGACATATACATATATATACAGAGTATATGTACAATGACTCTGGTATCGTTTGAGTAAATCTATAGCAGTTTCAAAAGTTAAAATGAAGGCTATCAGTTGTACTCATATGCAAACTAAAATTAGACAGTCTTATGTTGCTGTAGATACCACAAAAAGATGTCAGACCTAGTACTCTAACCTCATATTTTAACACTAGAAAAAGAAGACAGGGTTAAAAAAACTCCAAACCTTCCTCTAACTCATGATTTCTCACTTGTGAGTTTTCTTATTGTTTCATGTTGCAATTTGGTGCCTCTGTGCCAGTAACTAAAAAAGAAATTTTGGTACTGATGTGGAAATATTCCCTGTATTCACCAAATATATCTAATACATGTATTTGAATAAATATATTTTTAAGAAGGATTATATGCAGTTATTTGCATAATCCTTTTCATCTGTTTGAAAAAAAATCTTATACCTATTGTTTTATTTCCCCTCTCTCTCTTTCCAGATTTATTAGTAGCTCTTTTTAGTTCACCAGGTGTTCAGCAGATATAGAAGTGATTTATACAAAACTTCTTAAGAACATGTTCGAAGACAGATGTGTTACTGAAAAAATGGAATGTATTTTTCTAAAGAACAGGGTACTACTGTGCTGTGTGTAATCTTTAAAAAGAGTCAAAGCTGTTATTGATTTGTCAGGTTGTCCCTGCAGGCAATATAAATTTTTCCATTATAGACATTAAGTCTTCTAGCAAAAGCTGTTTTTTCTTTTATTTGGATAATAGGCTTATCTAATAGGTTAGAACTTCTCCTAAGACTCACAGTAATAGATATTTTACTTCATAAAAGATTTTTAGCTGCATTTTCCCCTTATTTTTTCCCAGTCTACAAATTATTTGAGGTCTAATGGTCAGAGTCTTCATGAGACAGGTATACAAGAACAGAACAGTAAATAAATGGCCTTAACAATATCTTGGATCATAAGAAAGAAAAAGGCAAATAGGACATAGCTAATATGAGAAGTGTTGGTGGCTGGGCTTCTTGAACAAAATTATTTTAAATTGTAGTTAAGAGCATACAATGGCTATACATCCCCAAATCTCAAAACTGAAATGAATTCTGAAACAGATGCAGCAAATAGAAGAAATTCATGCTAGGAAGACACAATGTAAAAGCTGTCAACTCTGTGCTAAAATCAGTCCATCATTAACTTCAGTTAGGTCAGTAGAAATATTCCATCCTCAAAGATTCTATTTAGGAGGATGGTTAGTTGGTTGTCTGTTTCTTGAGTTGCTGTTAATTTGCATAGATGCATCTTTTATTTCTTACCACTCAAGGCATAAATTTTGTTAGTAGAATTGGATTTTGTGTGGCGCTGTTCTAAATGACAGGCTTATGATAGTTATTGCTTAAATAAACTTCGTAGGTTTCTTGCATCAATTATTTATTTGTAGTATTCATGAAGTTTCCTAGTATGCTTTAAATACTTACAGTAACTAATTAGCTACAGTTTATATACGTCTTCAGATATTTGGAATCCTATTCAGAGTTCCTGACTTAATACATGAATTTATACTTCAGAAACACTTTCCCTCTGAGTGTCTGTGTCCTATCTTTGAAGGATATAGTGCTGACATGTTTTGAAGTTTGCCTGTCTTCCAGGTTTGCAGGGCAGAGCACAGGTCTGGTCTCAAAGTTGCTTAAAGAATAAGGTCCGGCTAGAGGCCCTTTGAAGCTGTTTCTGAATAGACCCTGAACTGGGCTTGCTGATGATCCAGTAGTATAGAACAACAAAAGAGAGAATTCCTGGTGGTAGGCTGTGATTTACCCCGTGTTTCTCATCTAGAATCTAGGGCCACTATTGCAAATACAAAAATAAAACTTTCCCTGTTTTTCTGGGAGTCAGCACAGAGAGCTTTACCTGGTTCCATGCTGTTCTTTGGCAAAAACTGGCATTTGAGAGTAACCAAACAGTACCAGTTTCTAGATAATATGCAGATAATGCTTATCTTTAAGGTAGTCTCGACTACTCAAAACACGTCTAGGAAGAATGAATGACAGTGACCTATTATCCATAGAATTAATTCTGTATTTGTGTTTGGTAGAAAAGACTGGGATATTTTGAGTAATGGATGAAAATACTTCATATGGAATGAACAGGGAATAATGTACATCCTGAGATGTGAAACTAGGCTGAAAGGCATATAGTCACTACTAAGCCAGATCAAAGGTGATTCCTGCAGAGCTGCTCAGGAGTTTGTTAGTTCATTCCTCAGCCCTGTGGATTATAGGAGAATTGATTGTTCATTCCTCAGCCCTGGGG